AAAATTGGATGCAAGCACATTCATTGAAACAATCTTCGCGAGCCACAATATTGTACACACCAAAAGAGAAGCCAAAAGCCTGGTCACAATGCCGAGGGCCTTACTATGGGTTACCTTAGCAATCTTCTCATCAAACAAATACAACCAAACAACCAACACCATGCCTAACCGGAGACAATTCTGAACTTTTTTCCTCACATCATAAACAAAAACTGAAACTCTTCGCCTAAACAGAAGATTCCTCTTGAAGGAAAAAATAACTATCTTAAAAATCCACACTAATAACAGCCTTCTATTAAGGCAACTATATCTCAAGCTTCTTCCATGTGATCAGCAATCAATGAGCCCATGATTCTAGGATTCATTCAATCTGTAATTTATATGTTTATTATACTGTAACATATATATTGTTTCCATATCAGTTAGGATTCTACATTGATGCTTCTGTATATATTATTCACAAGACATCAATAATAGAAAGAATAATTTGTCTGTTTCAATCTATAGCCTAATAGTGGTACCAGAGCAACTACTGCTTTCACGAGTCTTGATCATGGCCACTCACACTGAATACCCCAACTCTGCTACATCCAAGACCTCCCCAAACTCTGCTGCAACTGTTCTCAATCCTGAACTCACCAAAAATCCATTATCTTTCAATTTCGCCACATTCCCTATAAAGCTAACGCCCACCAACTATATGTCTTGGAGGGCTCAATTTACTTCTTTGCTTGCAGGTTACGAACTAGATGGATATCTTGATGGCAGCAACCCCCAATCGCATCAGAGTACAGCCTGTGGGCTCATCAAGATCAACTCTTGCGACATGCTCTTATCACCTCCGTCTTAGAGAACATTACCCCTTATATTGCTACTGTTGTCACAGCACAACAGGCATGGGAAACATTAGCAAGGCTCTATGCTAATCGCTCTTGCAGTCGGGTGATCACTTTAAAGGAACGTCTCCAAAACATGGGACGTGATTTCCGGTCAGTTGCAAACTATTTAAGAGATCTCAAAACTGTTGCTGATGAATTGGGAACCATTGATCGTCCACTCAAGGATGATGATCTTACAGTTTATATTCTTAATGGCCTTGGCCCTGAGTTTTGGGAGATTGCAGCTTCTCTTCGAGCACGGGACTCCTCTTTTTCCTTCAATGACTTGCATGGTAGATTGGTTGCTCATGAAGAAAGTCTCAAATGAGAAGAAGCCCGTCCTGAGATCACAACAGTGACAGCTCATTATGTCGCTACTTCCTTTAATTCTAGTACTGATTCCTTTTCTTCATTGAGTCCAAGCAACTCTAATTCTTCTCTTGGCCGCCATCCTCCACAAGCATTTCGTGGCAATTGGAATGGGTAGAACTCTTCCAATCGTGGCAATCAAAACCGGCGTCGCAATTTTGGACCCAAACCCACAACTCGACCCCTAATTCAGGTTGCCAACTGTGTGGTCGTGCAGGCCACTTTGCTCGAAATTGCCCTAGCTATCGAGTGCAAGCTCTTAGGCCCATGGCAAATTTGGCCTCTTCCTCTGCTGCTTTTTTTGAGGATTGCCTATTGGATTCTGGTGCCAACAACCATGTGACCACTGACTTGGCTAACTTGGCACTTCATTCTAAATACAATGGTCTTGATGAACTCCATATTGGTGATGGAACAGGTTTGAAAATCACACATGTGAGGCACTCTACACTATCTACCCCTCAATCCTCTTTACCTTTGCGTAATGTTTTGTTTGTTCCTTCTACCTTTCACAATTTAATTTCTGTCTTTCAATTGTGTAAACATGCTAATGTTTATGTTGAATTTCACGCAAATTATTTTTTGGTGAAAGATTGCTGCATGAATGAGACACTACTCCAAGGGCCAAACATTCATGGGATTTATCAAATATCGGGAAAAATTAGCTCCAAACCAACAACACTAGTGGGAGAGCATACTTTTTTCGTGATTTGGCATTTATGCTTAGGTCATCCTTCTATGAAGACCCTTAAACAAATTCCTAATGTTTCCAATTTACCATTATCAAATAGAATAAAGTTTTCATTATGTGAATCTTGTGCTTGCTCTAGAAGTCATAAGCTTCCTTTTTCAAATTCTTCCATTACCAGTCACTTTCCACTTGATAATATTTTTTCTGATGTATGGGGTTCTGCACCTATCCCCTCCATTGATGGTTTTAATTATTTTATCTTTTTTATTGACTGTTTTAGTTGATATGTATGGCTTTATTCCATTAAATGCAAGTCTGATGTGTCTCTTATTTTTCCACGATTTAAAGATCTTGTTGAAACTCAATTTGGGCACAAAATAAAAAACTTACATACTGATGGCGAGGGCAAATATGTTGCCCTTCATCACTTTCTTTCTCTAACAGGGATCTCTCATTTTATCACCCCTCCTTATACCCCAGAACTTAATGGAATCAGTGAACGATGCAACCGTCATATTATTGAGACTAGTTTTGCATTGCTTCATATTGCTTCCCTTCCACCCAAGTTTTGGACTTATGCTTTTCAAACCTCTATTTACTTACTTAACAGACTTCCATCCTCAGTTTCAAAAATTTCTCCATTTGAAAAACTATTTCATGTTCATCCTAATTTTTGTAAACTTCATGTTTTTGGGTGCTTGTGTTATCCATGGCTTCGACCTTATAATTCCAACAAATTACAATATCGTTCTCGTCCCTGTTTATTTTTAGGATATTCTACAGACAACTTGGGTTACAAATGATTGGATTTGGGTTCCGGAAAATTGTTTTTTTCCTGCCATGTTGTGTTTGAGGAGTCTACCTTTCCTCACAAAACTAAGTCCACTGTCCCTGTTTTACCCTCTACCTTTTTACCTGCCAATGAGCCTTCACCTACCTCTACTTCTACCTCTGCTCTGTGTAATTCGCCATCATCACTTCCCTCTCCTATTGGTTCTCCCCATGAATTTGTGGCTCAAGAGGTGCCTTTTCCCGCAGCTACTCCTTTATCAATCCCATCGCTGGCAAACCTTATTGCAGTCCCATCGCCGAATCTGTTACTAGCCTACCTACCTGCCCTGTCCAGCCCTCATAGCCCCACATCCTTAGCCCATTCCACTCCTAGTCACCCTTCCTTATCCTCAGTCCAAGACTCACAACCCTCCATTTCCCCAACCCAAGCCACAAGTAGTGTGGCTCGACCAAATCCTCCTACCCAGTTACACCACATGTGCACTGCACCTTGAATAATATTTTTAAACCCAAAATCCTTTTCCAAGCTGTGCCCTAGTGTCCTGCACCTATTAATGAGCCCACCTATGTGACCCAAGCTCTGAAAGATCCCAATGGGAGACTGGCTATGTCTAAAGAATTTAGTGCTCTTGTGTGTCAAGGTACGTGGGAACTTGTTCCTCCTTCTCCTGATCATCATTTAATTGGTTGTAAATGGGTGTTTCGTTTAAAATGAGCTAAAGATGGTAGTATTGAGCGTTATAAGGCACACTTGGTTGCCAAAGGCTTTCATCAACGTCTAGGATCTGACCATTTCAACACATTTAGTCTTGTTATTAAGCCTACTACTATTCGTACTGTTTTATCTATTGTAGTCTGCCAACAATGGGTTATCCGACAATTGGATATTAATAATGCTTTTTTACATGGTCATCTTGAGGAGCAATTGTTTATGCAGCAACTAGCAGGGTTTGTTGATCCTCGTTTCCCTCAGCATGTGTGCAAATTACGGAAGTCTATATATGGCCTGAAGCAAGCTCCCCGGGCATGGTTTACTGAGCCTAAAAATTTTATTATCTCTCAGGGCCTCTCTCAATCTAAGTCAGACTCGTCTCTTTTTATTTTTCACAAAGGGTCTACTTGGATTTATTTTCTTGTCTATGTTGATGATATTATAATTACAGGAAGTGACTCTTCTACTGTATAGTCTCTTATTCAGATCATGGGAGCTCGTTTCTCCTTAAAGGATTTGTGGCCTCTTAGTTTTTTCCTCGGTGTTGAAGTAATTCCCACTGTTATTGGTCTTTTCTTATCTCAACATCGGTACATTATTGATCTCCTCCAACAGTACAACATGCATGAGGCCAAGCCTATGCCCACCCCTCTTGCTGCTTCCACTTCATTGCATCTTGGTTCTGGTTCACCTCTTTTTGATGGTTCTAGTTACCGGCGGCTTCTTGGCTCCCTACAGTATCTTGCTCTCACTTGTCCGGACCTCTGCTTTGCTGTGAATAAGCTATCTCAATTTATGCATTAGCCCATTGACGCTCATTGGCAGGTTTTAAATGTGTTCTTCGCTACTTGCAAGGGACCCACTTTCATGGGTTGTTGTTACGGCCTCAGCGTGCTCTATCCTTGCATGCCTACTGGGCTGACGATCGTTCTACCTGTATTAGGACCACTAGTTATCTGGTCTTCCTGGGATCTAATCCCATTTCTTGCCATGCTACCAAACAGAAGGCAATCGCTCGGAGCTCCACAAAGGCTGAATATCGCGCCTTAGCATTTCTTGCTTCTGAACTGGTTTGGGTTCGCAATCTGTTATCGGAACTTGGAGTTTCTGGTATTGGCTCTCTTGGTCTATTTTGTGATAATATTGGTGCCACTTACTTGAGTCTCAATCCCATTCTACACTCTTGTATGAAACACATCGCTGTTGATTTACACTTTGTTCGGGATCTGGTCGATCAGAAAATCCTTCATGTTTCGCACATTTCTTCTCAGGATCAGCTTGCCGATGGCCTTACCAAGGCTCTATCCATTGCTCGCTTTTCCAATCTGTGTTCCAAGATTGGTGTTGCAGATGGCACCTCCATCTTGCGGGGGCGTGTTAAGGCAACTGTATCTCAAGCTTCTTCCACGTGATTAGCAATCAATGAGCCCATGGTTCTAGGATTCATTCAATCTGTAATTTATGTGTTTATTATACTATGTCATATATATTGTTTCCATATCTGTTAGGACTTTGCGTTGGTGCTTCTGTATATATTATTCACAAGACAGCAATAATAGAAAGAACAGTTTGTCTATTTCAATCTATAGCCTAATACCTTCCACATATGACTACAAGAGCTAAGACCAGCCACTTCCATAACCCAATTTCCCATGGTTTCAGTTCTCTCAAGTACGAAAGTGTAAAGCTACAGATTAACGCAACAATTATTAAAATAAGACC